TATTCTATTCTATTCTATTCTATTCTATTCTGTTCTATTCTATTCTATTCTATTCTGTTGTATTCTATTCTATTCTGTTGTATATTTTTATATTGCACTGTATTGTATCGTTTTGTTAATTTAATAATGCGTTTCTGGAAAAATATGACTCGCTGTGGCCTGCAACTCAGCACCACTTGATTCTTTTGCGAAGACCTAGATCTACATCTCACAGGGATATATCCTATCCAATTAATGTTTGTGACGACTCTATAAAAAAAATGCAAATCGCTGTTCTTTTTTCTGTAAGGTTTAGATTAATTTGATCCGAAAAAACGCTGTGTTATGCAGGACAAATTTGTTTAGCTTTTGGTTATAGGTTTCCTGGTCGAGTGGCGGTCTTTTTGCAGCGGGGAAATCTCTCCCACCTAGGACTGGCTAGGACCATGAGCAACACCAGATTTCAGCTTGTTCAAATAAGGGCAACTTACCGTTCGTCTTCTCGGACTTGTCATGTTTGATAGGGCTTCTCGGGGGTTACCTGTGAGTTCAGTGGGTTAGGTCTATTTCAGGATGTGTGGTATAGCTAGATTTATTTCAGACTGTGTTATAGTACTATAGTCTATATTGCTCTGAAAGGGGTTTATTGAAATAGCAGAAACTCTGGTTTTAATGAGAATGTACCGGGAGGTAAGTTGACGATGGAGCGCGGCTCAAGCGGTAGGTGTATTTGATCTTGAATACGGGGGAGGAATAAGTAGGTAGTATGTTAATTCTTCTACTCATTCCCTGGTTTAACAGAGCATTTCCCCCGTTTGTTTTCAGGAGAGCCCTGATCATCAAAGCCGGAGCTTGGTAATAAATATTCCAGGACACACACCGTAAAGTAACAGACAGGAATAAGGAGTTACCTGGTTTTGCAGGTAGGTTTCGTGTTTGGTTTTTCTTGTCTGGTAGTCTGTTTGCTTTTTATATTTGTACAGACCTATAATTCCAACTTATTTTGTTAATTTATTCGTATTTCTGTTTGTCTGTTCGTATTATGAGGACGTGCTTTAAACTCGTTTTTTAATTGGCTACGTGTACAATTCTATGCCATATACTGATGTATTATGTGAGGCGATTTTGTGTTGTCTCAAACTTCCAAAAGGCGTAGATTGTACGCAACAAATCTGTTTCCCGTTATTGCCCCTGTCATATTATGGCCTAGTTGTTCCGTTTGTTGAGTCGCTTTCTTGTTTGGTGTGCTTCTACCACTTCTCGAGAAAATCGTAACTGTATTCGTCTTTTCTTTGCTGAGTCACTGTGAAACAAAACTGGAAGACGATGCATAAAGGAATGACAGATTATGTTTTCTCTTCAACTCAGTTTTCATGGAACTGTTTATCTCTTTCTCGCATTATCTCTCTCTCCCCCCCCTCCCCTCTCCCTTTCTCTTTACCTCTCTCCTCTCT